CCTTGAAAAAAGATTTGAAAAAAGATTGGAGGAAATGATAACAAGAATGGATACCTTAGAGAGGAATATGAATGAATTAAAGGAGCTGAAAAACACAATACGAGTACTTCGCGAAACATGCACAAGTTTCAATAGCCGAATTGACCAAGCAGAAGAAAGAATATCAGAAGTCGAGGATCAACTCAATGAAATAAAATGAGAAACCAAGATCAGAGAAAAAAGCGCAAAAAGGAATGAACAAAGTCTCCAAGAAATGTGGGACTATGTGAAGAGACCTAACCTACGTTTGATAGGTGTACCAGAATGTGATGAAGAGAATGAATCCAAGCTGGAAAATACTCTTCAGGACATTATCTAGGAAAATTTCCCCCACCTAGCAAGACAGGCCAACACTCAAATGCAGGAAATACAGAGAACACCACAGAGATGTTCTGCAAGGAGAGCAACCCCAAGGCACATAATCGTCAGATTCAACAAGGTTGAAATAAAGGAGAAAATACTAAGGGCAGCCAGAGAGAAAGGTCGGGTCACACACAAAGGGAAGCCAATCAGACTCACAGCAGATCTCTCGGCAGAAACTCTACAAGCCAGAAGAGAGTGGGGGCCAATATTCAACATTCTTAAAGAAAAGAACTTTCAACCCAGAATTTCATATCCAGCCAAACTGAGCTTCAGAAGTGAAGGAAAAATAAAATCCTTTGCGAACAAGCAAGCACTAAGAGATTTTGTCACCACCAGCCCTGCTTTATAAGAGCTCCTGAAAGAGGCACTACACATAGAAAGGAACAACCAGTACCAGCCATGTCAAAATCACACTAAATGCTAAAGAGCATCAACATAATGAAGAATCTACAACAACTAACGGGCAAAACAGCCAGCTAGCATCAAAATGGCAGTGTCAAACTCACACATAACAATATTAAACCTAAATGTAAATGGACTAAATGCACCAATCAAAAGACACAGACTGGCAAATTGGATAAAAAGCCAAAACCCAGCAGTGTGCTGTATCCAGGAAACCCATCTCACATGCAAAGATACACAAAGGCTCAAAATAAAGGGATGGAGGAAGATTTACCAAGCAAATGGAGAGCAAAAGAAAGCAGGAGTTGCAATCCGCATCTCTGATAAAATAGACTTTAAAGCAACAAAGATCAAAAGAGACAAAAAAGGTCATTACATAATGGTAAAAGGATCGATACAACAAGAAGAGCTAACGATTCTAAACATATATGGACCCAATACAGGAGCACCCAGATACATAAGGCAAGTTCTTAACGACTTACGAAGAGACTTAGACTCCCACATAATAATAGTGGGAGACTTTAATACTCCACTGTCAATATTAGACAGATCAACCAGACAGAAAATCAACAAGGATATCCAGGGCTTGAACTCAGACCTGGAGCAAGCAAACCTGATAGACATTTACAGAACTCTCCACCCCGAATCCACAGAATATACATTCTTCTCACCACCACATCATACCTACTCTAAAATTGACCACAGAATTGGAAGTAAAGCACTCCTCAGCAAATGCAAAACAACTGAAATCTTAAGAAACAGCCTCTCAGACCATAGTGCAATCAAGTTAGGACTCAGAATTCAGAAACCAACCCAGAACCGCAACGCTTCATGGACACTGAACAACTGGCTCCTGAATGTTGACTGGATAAACAACGAAATGAAGGCAGAAATAAAGAAGTTCTTCGAAACCAATGAGAACGAAGACACAACATGCCAAAATCTCTGGGACACATTTAAAGCAGTCTCTAGAGGAAAGTATATAGCAATAAGTGCCCATATGAGAAGAATGGAGAGATCCAAAATTGACAGCCTATCGTCAAAATTGAAAGAGCTAGAGGAGCAAGATCAAAAAAACTCAAAACCCAGCAGAAGACAAGAAATAACTAAGATCAGAGCTGAACTGAAGGAGATTGAGACACGAAGAACCCTCCAAAAAATCAATAAATCCAAGAGCTGGTTTTTGAAAAGATCAACAGAATAGACAGACCACTAGCCAGATTGATTAAAAAGAAAAGAGAGAACAACCAAAGAGATGCAATAAAAAATGATAAAGGGGAAATCACCACAGATTCCACAGAAATTCAAACCATCATCAGAGAATATTACAAACAACTCTATGCACATAAACTCGTAAACCTGGAAAAAATGGATAAGTTCCTGGACTCCTGTGTCCTCCCAAGATTAAACCAGGAGGAAGCTGAAACTATGAATAGACTAATAGCAAGGTCAGAAGACGAGGCAGAAATTAAGAGCCTACCACTCAAATAAAGCCCAGGTCCAGACGGGTTTACAGCCGAATTCTACCAGACACAGAAAGAGGAGCTGGTACCATTCCTTCTGAAACGATTCCAAATAATACAAAAAGAGGGAATCCTTCCCAAATCATTTTACGAGACCAACATCATCCTGATACCAAAACGCGGCAGAGACCCAACAAGAAAAGAAAACTTCAGGCCAATATCCATGATGAACATAGATGCAAAAATCTTGAATAAAATACTGGCAAGCCGATTGCAACAGAAAATCAAAAAACTTATTCATCATGATCAAGTAGGATTCATCCCAGAGATGCAAGGCTGGTTCAACATATGCAAGTCTATCAACGTAATTCACCACATAAACAGAACCAAAAACAAAAACCACATGATTATCTCAATTGACGCAGTGAAGGCATTTGACAAAATTCAACAGCCCTTTATGCTAAAAACCCTCAATAAACTCGGTATCTATGGAACGTATCTCAAAGTAATAAAAGCTATTTGTGACAAACTAACAGCCAATATCATACTGAATGGGCAAAAACTGGAAGCCTTTCCTTTGAAATCCGGCATCAGAAGAGGATGCCCTGTTTCACCACTCCTATTCAATATAGTACTGGAAGTTCTAGCCAGAGCAATCAGGCAAGAAAAAGAAATAAAGGGTATTCAAATAGGAAAGGTGGAAGCCAAATTGTCTCTATTTGCAGACGACATGATAGTATACCTAGAAGACCCCATCGCCTCAGCCCAAAAGCTCCTGAAACTGATAAGCAACTTTAGCAAAGTCTCAGGATATAAAATCAATGTGCAAATATCACAAGCCTTCGTCTGCACCAATAACAGACTTAAGGAATGCCAAATCAAGAACGAACTGCCATTCACAATTGCTACAAAAAGAATAAAATACCTTGGAATACAACTCGCAAGGAACGTAAGGGACCTCTTCAAGGAGAACTACAAACCACTGCTCAACGAAATCAGAGGACAGAAACAGATGGAGAAACATTCCATGTTCATGGTTAGGAAGCATTAATATTGTGAAAATGGCTATACTGCCCAAAGTAATTTACAGAATCAATGCTATCCCCATCAAGCTACTATTGACTTTCTTTACAGAACTGGAAAAAACAACCATGAACTTCATATGGAACCAAAAGAGAGCCTGCATAGCCAAGTCAATTCTAAGCAAAAAGAACACAGCGGGGGGCATCACACTACCGGATTTCAAACTATACTACAAGGCTACAGTAATCAAAACAGCATGGTACTGGTACCAAAACAGAGATACAGACCAATGGAACAGAACAGAGGCACCGGAGGCAACACAACATATCTACAACTATACAATCTTTGATAATCCTCACAATAACAAGAAATGGTGAAAGGATTCCCTGTTTAACAAATGGTGTTGGGAAAACTGGCTAACCATGTGCAGAAAGAAGAAACTGGACCCCTTCCTGACACCTTACACTAAAATTAACTCCAGATGGATTAAAGACTTAAACCCAAGACCTGGGACGTTAAAAACCCTAGAAGGAAATCTAGGGAAAACTATTCAGGACATAGGAGTAGGCAAGGACTTCATGAACAAAGCACCAACAGCATTGGCAATAAAAGCCAAAATAGACAAATGGGACCTAATGAATCTCCACAGCTTCTGCACGGCAAAAGAAACAGTCACTGGAGTGTCTCGGCAACCAACAGAATGGGAAAAAGTTTTTGCAGTTTACCCATCTGACAAAGGGCTGATATCCAGAATTTACAAAGAACTCAAACAGATTTACAGAAAAGAAACAAACAAGCCCATTCAAAAGTGGGCAAAGGATATGAACAGACACTTTACGAAAGAAGATATATATGAGGCCAACAATCATATGAAAAAATGCTCATCGTCACTGGTCATCAGAGAGATGCAAATCAAAACCACATTGAGATCCCATCTCACACCAGTTAGAATGGCGATCATTAAAAAATCTGGAGACAACAGATGCTGGAGAGGATGTGGAGAAAAAGGAACACTTTTACACTGTTGGTGGAAGTGTAAATTAGTTCAACCATTGTGGAAGACAGTGTGACGATTCCTCAAGGCCTTAGAAATAGAAATCCCATTTGACCCAGCAATCCCATTACTGGGTATATATCCAAAAGACTATAAATCGCTCTACTATAAGGACACATGTACACGAATGTTCATTACAGCACTGTTTACAATAGCAAAGACCTAGAATCAACCCAAATGCCCATTGATAATAGACTGTATTGGAAAAATGTGGCACATATACACCATGGAATATTATGCAGCAATCAGAAATGATGAGTTTGTGTCGTTTGTAGGGACATGGATGAATCTGGAAAACATCATTTTCAGCAAACTGACACAAGAACAGAAAATGAAACACCGCATATTCTCACTCATAGGCGGGTGATGAAAAATTAGAACACATGGGTACAGGGAGGGGAGTAATAAATACTGGGGTCTATTGGGGGGAAAAGGGGAGGGCCAGTGGGAGGGGAACGTGGGGAGGGTAACCTGGGGAGAAATGCCAAATGTGGATGAAGGGGAGAAAGGAAGCAAAACACACTGCCATGTGTGTACCTACGCAACTCTCTTGCATGCTCTGCTCATGTATCCCTAAACCTAAAATGCAATAAAAAATAATAAAAAAATTTAAAAAACAGACAAAAATTAAAATCTGAGCCGGGCATGGCATGTGCATGCTTTGGCAGCACCTACACTAAAATTGAAATGATACACAGAAGGCCAGCGTGGCCATGTGCAAGAATAACACGCAAAAGTGTTCAGCATTTCGTATTTTTTTTGCCACTGTGGTTGTTTTGTAGAAATCATCTACAGACAGATTTGAGGTGCAAAAAACACACAACAATACAACAACAAGAACAGAAAAACAGAAAGTTAACTGGACTAACTTTCAGTGAGGACTAACCATTCAGTGAGGCTCTGAGTGGCCATATTACGGAGATTCCTGAGTATCCACAAAGAGCTTATTACTCAGAGAGGCTCTGAATGAATGGCTGCTGACTTCTCCACAGGAGTGCATTATTCAGTGAAGCTCGGCATGAGAGGCCAGATGAAATTGTCTCCTGGCAAGTCCTTAGGTGTGTGTTGTTCACTGAGCTTCTGAATGTGTGGCCAATTGAAATACACTCCTGACTATTCCTGAGGTGTGTGTTATTCACTGAGGTTCTGTATGAGTTGAAATACAAAATAGATTCCTGACAATTTCCCAGGTGTGCACTACTCCCTGAGGCTCTCACTCAGTTGCCATATGAAAGACTCTTGACTCTACCCCATGTGTGTATTATTCAAAGAGGCTCTGAAAGAGTGTCCATATGAAATACACTCCTGTCTATTCCCCACGTATGCATTATTCACTGAGGCTCTGAATGAGTTTCAATATGAAATTCACTCCTGACTGTTCTCCAGGTGTGAATTTTATTCACATGGGCTCTGAATGAGGGGCTGCATAAAATAGACTCCTGACTATTCCACAGGTGTGTATTATTCACTGATGTTCTGAATGTATTGCCAAAGAAAATAGACACATCGCTACTCCACACAAGTTTGCATCCTTCACTGATGCTCTGAATGAATGGTCATGTGAAAGAGACTACAAGATATTTTCCAGGTATGCATTATTCAATGAGACTCTGAATGAGAGGACACTGTAAGTAAACTCCTGACAATTCCACAAACTTGCACTATTTGGAGGGCTCTGAATGAGTGGCAATATAAAATAACCTAATCAATATTTCCCTGGTGTATATTATTCACTGAGGCTCTAAAAGAGTGTCCATATGAAAGAGAAACCTGTCTATTCCCAAGGTGTGCATTATTCAGTTTGGCTCTGAATCACAGGTTATATGGAATAAGATACTGATTATTCCCCAGGCGAGTATCATTCACTGAGGCTCTGAATGAGTGGTCATATGATACAGAGCCTTGAATATTCCCCATGTTTGTATGATTCACTGAGGCTCTGAATGAAGGGTCATTTGAAATGAAATCCCCACTACTCCCCAGGCATGCATTATTCACTGTGTCTCTGAATGAGTGGAAATATGAAATAGACACTTGACTATTCCACAGGTGTGTACAATTCAGTGAGGCTCTGAATGAGTGGCCACATGTAAGAGAATCCTGACTATTCTAAACGTGTACATTATTCAGTGAAGGTCTAAATGAGTTACCATAAAAAAATAGAATCCTGACTATTCCCCAGGTGTGCATTACTCACTGAGGTGCTGAATGAGTGGCCATATGAAATTGATTGCTGAGTACTCCCTAGGTATGCATTATTTACAGAGGCTGTGAGTTAGTGGCCATGTGAAATAGACTTTTGAATATCTCCCATGTGTGCATTATTGAGGGAGGTTCTGAAAAAGCATCCCTATGAAATAGATTGCTGACCATTCCCCAGGTGTGGATTATTCACTGAGGCTATGAATGGGAGGCAATATAAAATAGACTTCTGATTATTTTCCAGGTGGGTTTTATTCACACGGGCACTGAATGAGGGGCCATGTGAAATAGACTCCTGTGTATTCCACAGGTATGTATGATTCGCTGAGGTTGTCAATGTGTGGCCAACGGAAATAGACACCTGGCTACTCCACCTGTGTACATTATTCACAGATGCTCTGAATGAATGGCCATATGAAAGATACTCCAAATTTTTCTTTACGTATGCATTATTCAATGAGGCTCTGAATGCAAGTCATACAAAATAGACTCCTGACAATTCTCCAGGCGTGTATTTCTCAGTGAGACTCGAAGGAGTGGTGATATGAAATAGACTCATCACTATTCTACAGGTATAGGTTATTCAGTGAGTCTCAAAATGGGTGTCCATATTAAATAGAATCCCAAATGTTCCCCACTTGTGTATCATTCAGTGAGGTGCTGAATGAGTGGCCATATGACATGTAGTTCTGAGGACTCAATAGGTGTTCATTATTTACTTAGGTTTTGAATGAGAAGCAATATGAAGTAGACTCCAGACTATATCCCAGATGTGTATAATTCACTCAGCCTCTGAATGATTGGCCTGAAGAAATAAACTCCTGGCTATTGTTCAGGTGTGTATCATTCACTGAGGCTAAAAATGAGTGGCCATATATAATAGACCTCTCAGTACTTCACAGGGGTGAGTTGTTCAGTGAGACTCTGAGAGTGGGCATATGAAATAAATGCCTTACTATTCCTCAGGTGTGCATTATTCACTGAGGCTCTGAATGTGTGGCCATTGGAAATAGAATCCTCACTATTCCCTTAGTGTGTATTTTTCACTGAGTCTCTCAATGAGTGTCCATTCTGAATAAACTCCGGACAATTCCCCAAACTTGCACTACTTCGAGAGGCTGTGCATGAGGGACAATTTTAAAAAGACTCCTCAGTATTCCCTTGGTGTGTATTATTTACTGACGCACTGAGAGAGTGTTCCTATCAGACCCCTCACTATTTCCAAGGTGTGCATTATTCAGTTTGGCTCTCAATACTGGTCGTATGACATAGAATCCTCATTATTCCCCAAGTGTGTGTCATGCACTGAGGCTCTGAATGAGTGGCCATATGAAGCAGACCCTTGACTATTCCCCAGGTGTGTATCATTCACTGAGACATTGAATGAAGGGTCATTTGAAATAAAATCCTCAGTACTCTTCAGGCATGCATGATTCACTGAGGCTCTGAATGAGTGGCTATATAAAATAGTCTCCTGACTATTCCACAGGTGTGTACCATTCAGTGAGGATCTGAATGAGTGGCCATATGAAACAGAATTCTCACTATTCCAAATGTGTGCATTATTCAGTGACGCTCTGAATGAGTGTCCATAAGAAATAGAATTTTGACTATTTCCCTGGTGTGCATTATTCACTGAGGTGAGGAATGAGTGGCCATATGAAATAGATTGCTGAGTACTCCCCAGGTATGGTGTGCATTATTCACTAAGGCGTTGAATCAGTGGTAATATGAAATAGATACCTAAATATCTCCGAGGTGCATATTTTTTCAGAGAGGCTCTGAATGAGTAGCTATATTAATTAAGCTCCTGACAATTCCACAGCAGTGCACTATTCAATGAAGCTCTGAGTGAGAGGCCAGATGACATTGACTCCTCACCCTTCCTCACTTGTGTATAATTCAATGAGCCTCTTATTGTGTGCTTAATTGAAATACAGTCCTAACTATTCCACAGGTGTGTCTTATTCACCAAGGTTCTGTATCAGTTGCCATATGAAATAGACTTCTGACAATTCCCCAAGTGTGCACTATCTTCTTGGAGTCTCAGTGAGGGACCATAAGAGATTCCTGACCCTCCCTAATGTGTGTATTATTCAGGGAGGCTCTGAAAGAGTGTACATATGAAATAGACTCCTGACTATTTCCCAGGTGTGCATTATTCACTGAGGCTCTGAATAAGTGGCAATATATAATTGACTCCTGACTATTCTCCAGGTGTATATTATTCACTCAGCCTCTGAATGAGGGGCCTTATAAAATAGACTCCTGACTATACCAAAATTGTGTATTCACTGATGTTCTGAATGTGTGGCCAAAGCAAATAGACACCTGACCACTCCACAGGTGTGCATTCTTTACTGATGCTCGGAATAAATGGCCATATGAAAGAGACTCCAAATTTTTATCCAGGCATACATTATTCAATGAGGCTCTGAAGGACGGGCCATACGAAATTTACTCCTTACAATTCCACATGTGTTAACTTTTCTGTTAGACTTGGAAAGGGGGTCGATAGGAAATAGACTCCTCAGGATTCCAAGGCATACATATTTCAGCGAGGCTCATAATGGGTGTTCATATTAAATATAATTCTATTTCCCACGTGTGTATCATTCAATGAGGTGGTGTATGAGTGGCCATATGAAATAGACTCCTGAGTACCCAACAGGTGTGCATTGTTCAGTGAGGCTTTGAATGAGACGGCCTATGTAATAGACTCCTGAGTATTTCCTAGGTGTGTGTTATTCACTGAGGCTCAAAGGAGTGTTCATATTCTATAGCCTCCTGATTAATGTCCAGGTTTGCATTATTCAATGAGGCTCTCAATCAGTGGTCATATGAGATAGAATCCTGACTATTTCCCAGGTGTGCATCATGCAGTAATGCTCTGATTGAGTGGCTATATAGCATGGACTCTGACTATTCCCCAGTTGTTTATCATTCAGTAAGTTTCTGAACGAGTGACCATATGAAATAGACTCCTGACTATAGCCTCTTAACTCTTCCTCAGGTGTGCATTTTCCACTGAGGCACTTGGTGAATGGTCATATCAAATAGGCTCCAGACTATTCCCCAAGTGTGCATTATTCAGTGATTCTCTGAATAAGTGGCCATATGAAATAGACTCCTGAGTATTCCCCAGGTATATACAATTCTTCACTGAGGCTCTGAATGAGTGGCCATGTGAAATACACTCCTGACTTGTCCATAGGTGTGTATTATTAAGTGAGGCTCTGATTGAGTGACCATAGGAAAGAGACTTCTGAATACACCCCAGGCGTGCATTTTTAGGTTTGGCTCTGAATGAGTGGCCATACGAAATAGAATCCTGGCTTTCTTCCAGGTGTATATTACTCAGTGAGGCTCTGAATGTGTGGCTATATGACATAGACTTCTGACTACTCTACAGGTGTTCCTTATTCAGTGAAGCTCTGAAGGAGAGGCCATATGTAATAGCGTCCTGAGCATTCCCCAGGTATGCATTATTCACTGAGGTGTTGAAAGTTTGGCCATATAAAATAGTCTCCTGACTAGTCCATAGCTGTGTATTATTTAATGAGGCTTTGAGTTAGTGACCATATGAAATAGACTCTGGTCTGTTCCCCAGGTGTGTATTATTGACTGAGACTCTGAATAAGTGGGCATATGTAATTGACTGAGACTCTGAATAAGTGGGCATATGTAATAGACTACTGACTATTCCAAAGTTGTACATTACACAACACTGAAGGCCGGCTTGACCGTTGTGCAAAAATGACATGCAAAGGTGTGCAGCTTTTCATAATTGTTTTGCCGTGGTGGCTGTTTTGCATAAATCAAATACAGATAGATTTGAGGTACAAAAACAACGAAAAAAAAACCCCAGAAAGTTAGCTGGACGTGGTGGTGTGGACACCTGCAACCCCAGCTTCTTTGAAAGCTGCGGCTCGACAATCGCTTGAATCGAGGAGGCAGATGTTGCAATAGGGCAAGATCGAGCCATTGCACTGCAGCATGAGTTACAAGAGAGGCAGGGCGGAGAATGGAGTCATCCAGTGCCTCGTTTTTTACAATTTTACACACTGATCTGTATGATTTATTTTTTTTTCTTATTCTCTTTTTTTAAAATGAGGTGGATTTTCACCGGGTTGTTCAGGCTGACCTTGAATTTGTGACCTCAGGTGAACCTCCCCCTTTGGCCTCCCAAAGTGCTCAGATTGCTGGAGTGAGTCACAGTGCTCGGCGCAGTCTCTCTGATTTCTTTTATAACAATAAAGTCAGACGGCTTGGCACGGTGGCTCACGTGAGTCTGTTATCCAAGCGCTTTGAAGATCAAGGCTGGTGGATGCGGGTTGGAGACCGGCCTGACCAATAAGGCAAAACCCGGTCTTTAAAACAAAAATAAAACTTAGGTTGGGCTTGACAGCTCACGCCTGTAATCCCGACGCTTTGGGAGGCCAAGGCCAGCGTATCGTGAGGTCACAAGTTTGAGACTGGCCTTGAACAACACAGGACAACCCGCTCCCTGTAAAAAACAGAAAAACAGAATATATAAAAAAGCTGAGCCGGGCAGGGCATGTGCTCACTTCGGCAGCACCTACACTAAAATTGGGACGATACAAAGAAGGCCGCAATTGTCGCCGCACAAGAATGGCATGCAAAGATGTGCAGCATTCCGTACTTTCTTTGCCATTGTGGCTGTTTTGTAGAAATCAAATACAGACAGATTTGAGGTACAAAAAAAAGAAAACAATAAAAACAAACAAACAAAACAAAAACAAAGTTAGTTGAACGTGATGGTATAGACAACTGCAATTCCAGTTTTTTGAAAGGCTGTGGCAGGACAATCGCTTGAAACCAGGAGGGAGATATTGCAATAAGCGAAGATCGCACCATTGCACTCCAGCCTGGGTGACAAGAGAAAAACACTGTGTCATAAAAAAACGCCTGGCCAAAGGCTGGACTCATCCAGCACCTTGTTTTTACAATTGTATACACTAATCATTCTAATTTATTTTCTTTTCCTTTTTCTCCTTTTTAAAAAATAAGGTGGGTTTTCACTGGGATTCCCTGGCTGACCTCGAACTCGTGACCTCAGGTGACCCGCCCACTTTGGCCTTCCAAAGTGCTAAGATTGCTGGTGTGAGTCACAGCACCTGGCCCAGTCTGTCTGATTTTTTTAAATAATAAAGTCGGCCAGCCGAGCAGAGTGGCTTACATGAGCCTGTCATCCAAGCACTTTGAAGACCAAGGAGGGTGGATCACCCAGAGTTGGGAGTTCAAGACCAGCCCGACCAGTATGGTGAAACCTTATATCTAAAACAAAACCAAAACTTAGGTTGGGCTCAGTGGCTCACGCCTGTAATCCCAGCATTTTGGAAGGCTGAGGCAAGAGGATTGTGAGATAACAGATTCGAGACTCTCCTTGAACAACACAGCACAACCCACTCCCTATAAAAAACATAAAAACAGAAAAAAATAAAAAAGCTGAGCCGGGCATGGCATGTGCTAGCTTCGGCAGCACCTACACTAAAATTGAGACAATGCACAGAAGGTCAGCGTGGCCACCACGCAGGGATGACACGTGAAGGTGTGCTGCGATCTGTATTATTTTGCCATTGTGGCTGTTTGTAGAAATCAAATACAGATAGATTTGAGGTACAAAAAATAAAAATTAAAATTAAAAAACCCAGAAAGTTAGTTGGATGTGCGGTGTGGATACCTGTAACCCTAGCTACTTGGGAGGCTGTGGCAGGACAGTCGCTTGAACCGAGGAGGCAGATGTTGCAATAAGGGAAGATTGCACCACTGCACTCCAGCCTGGGTGACAAGAGGAAAATACTACGTCATAAAGAAAGACAGGGAAGGTGGAGTCATCTGGCACGTCGTTTTTTACAATTCTACACACTGATCTGTCTGATTTCTTTTCTTTTTTTTTTTTAATTAGGTGGGTTTTTTTTCACCAGGATGCCCAGGCTGACCTTGAACTCGTGACCTCAGGTGACCCACCCACCTCGGCCTCCCAAAGTGCTAAGATGGCTGGCATGAGTCACAGAGCCCGGCCCAGTCTCTATGATTTATTTTTTAACCACAAAGTCAGCCGGCCAGGCACGGTGGCTCACATGAGCCTGTCATCCAAGTGCTTTGAAGACCAAGGTGTGCGGATCATCCGAGGTTGCAGGTTCAAGACCGGCCCAACCAACATGGTGAAATTATGTTTTTAAAAGAAAACAAAACTTAGGTTGGGCTCGGCGGCTCACGCCTGTAATCCCAGCATTTTGGAAAATTGAGGCGAGCCAATCCTGAGGTCACAGATTCGAGACTGGCCTTGAACGATACAGTGCAACCCACTCCCTATAAACAACATAAAAAGAAAAATAAAAAAGCTGATCCGGGCATGGCATGTGCTCGCTTTGGCAGCACCTACACTAAAATTGTGATGATACACAAAAGGCTGGCGTGGCTGCCGCACAAGGATAACACACAAAGGTATGCAGCATTCTGTATTTTTTTTGCCATTGTGGCTGCTTTGTAGAAATCAAATACAGATAGACTTGAGGTACAAAAACCCCCCCCAAAATACAGAAAGTTAGCTGGATGTGGTGGTGTGGACACCTGCAACACCACCTACTTGAGAGGCTGTGGCAGGACAATTGCTAGAACCCAGAAGGAATATGTTGCAATAAGCCAAGATCGCAACATTGCACTCCAGCCTGGGTGAGGGGAGGGAAACGCTATGTCATAAAGAAAGTCGAGAGAGAAGAGAGAGAGAACAGGGCACTGTAGGACCAACTCAGGATTGCAGCTCCCAGTGAATCCGCAGATAGTGAGTGGATGCCACATTTCCAGACGGATCTTTATTGCCCACAGACCAGGAGATTCCCAGGTGTAAGAGCCACACAGGCTGCCAGCGTGGCTGTTTGGGCCAGTGCAGCTGTTTGGGCTGGGGCCACAGTGCAGCGGCACTCGGTAAAAAATACACTGCTTTGGTTGCCTTGTTAAACTGGCAATTGAAAATTTCGAAAGGCAGATTAGCACATTCATCTGATTATATGGGACTTAAACAGAAAACCAGGCCAGGAGATTCCTGGGCAGCAACGTGATTCCAGCTGGCACAGTGGGTCACTGCACGGGAAAGCACACAGATCCCGGTGCCCTTTCAGCAGGCGACTGGAATACCTGGGAGAAAGTCAACCATTCAACTTAAAAAAAAAGGGCTTTGAGGCAGGGAGCCAGGTGATCATGCTCGGCAGGTCCCACCCCCACAAAAACAAATGAAACAGCAATTGAAAACGCTTGGGGTTGAGAGTTTCATGGCAAGCACAGCTGAACCCAGGATGGTGCAACTCGAAGGAGGAGGGACGTCCGCCATTACCGAGGCACTCGACCCCTATGTGGGTCCACTGCCATTGCTGATGCAGCCTGCCATTGCCAAGGCAACCTGCCATAACAGAGAGAGTCTGGCACTACAGAGGCGAGCCATTATCACCATTGCAGCTCTAACCACACCCATATAAACAGGACTGCAGGGAATTACACATGGCAGCAGGGCGGAGCCCACAGAAAAAGGGCGGAGCCCACGACAGCAGTGTGGAGCCCACGGCAGAAGGGTGAAGCCCATGGCAGAAGGGCGGAGCCCATGGCAGCTCAGCATAGCCACTAGAGGCAAGGAGTGATTAGACTGCCTCCTTACCGGGCAAAACAGTGCAACAGATACTCATAAATAAAGCCCTAACTCCCTGGGACAGAGCACCTGAGGAAAAAATAAAGGGGCTTTATGAGTTCTGCTGCAGCATACTTAAACGTAACTGCATAGCAGCCCAGAATGAACAATGAAGCTCACAGCTCAGCACTTGAGCTCCTATAAAGTACAGACTGTCTCCTCAAGTATAAAGTACAGACAGTCACCTCAAGCAGCTCCCTGAACCCTGTATATCCAAAGAGTCACCTCACAGAAAACTGATCAGACTGACATTTGGTGGGCATCATTCAGGGACAAAGATAGCAATAGAAGAAATGGGTAGCTAACGGTTCTGCAGCTGTTACAGTTGTACCCCAGGCAAGCAGGGCCTGGAGTGGACCTCAGTAGTCCTACAGCAGAGGGGCAAGGCTGCTAGAAGAAAAACTAAGAAACAGAAATATTTCATCATCAAAAATCTGGGCGTCCACTCAGAGACCCAACTGGAAAATCAGCAACTACTCAGATGCCAGGTGGATACATCCACAAAGTTGAAAAGAAACCAGTGCAAAAAAAAAAAAAAAAAGGAAAACACCCGAAACCAGAACATCTCACCTCCTACAAAGGACCACAACCCCTCACCAGCAAGGGAACAAAGCTGAACAGAGAATGAGTGTGATGAAGTGAAAGAATCAGACTTCAGAAAGTGGGTAATGAAAAACTTCCGTGAACTCAAAGAACATGTTCTAACTCAATGCAAAGAAACTAAGAACCTTGAAAAAACCTTGAAAAAAATTTGAGGACATGATAAGAATGGACAACTTAGAGAGGAATATGAGAGAATTGAAGGAGCTGAAAAACACAACAAGAAAACTGCGAAGCATGCACAAGTATCAACAGCCAAATTGACTAAGCAGAAGAAAAAATATCAGAGGTCGAAGATCAACCCAATGAAATAAAACGAGAAGCCAAAATTAGAGAAAAAAAGCGCAAAAAGGAATGAACAAAGTCCCCAAGAAATGTGGAACTATGTGAAGAGACCTAATCTACGTTTGATAGGTATACCTGAATGTGGCGAAGAGAATGAATCCAAGCTGGAAAATACTCTTCAAGATACTATCCAGAAAAATTTCCCCAACTTAGCAAGGCAGGCCAATACTCAATTCCAGGAAATACAGAGAACACCACAAAGATATTCCGCAAAAAGATCAACCCCAAGGTACATAATCGTCAGATTCACCAGGGTTGAAAAGAATGCGATATGCTAAGGGCAGCCAGAGAGAAAGGTTGTGTCACCCACAAAGGGAAGCTCATCAGACTCACAGCAGATCTCTCAGCAGAAACTCTACAAGTCAGAAGAGAGTGGGAGCCAATACTCAACATCCTTAAAGAAAAAAACTTTCAACCCAGAATTTCATATCTAGCCAAACTGAGCTTCATAAGTGAAGGAAAAATAAAATCCTTTGCAAACAAGCAAGTACTCAGACACTTTGTCACCACCAGGCCTGCTTTACAGAGCTCCTGAAAGAGGCACTACACATAGAGAGAAACAACGAGTACCAGCCATTCCATAAACATACCAAATGCTAAAGAGCATCAACAAAATGAAGAATCTGCATCAACTATCAGGCAAAACACTCAGCTAGTAACAAAATGGCAGTATCAAATTCACACATAACAATATTAACCCTAATGTAAATGGGCTAAATGCACCAATCAAAAGACACAGACAGGCAAATTGGATAAAAAAACAAAACCCATTACTGTGCTGTATCCAAAAAACCCAGCTCACATGCAATAATACACAACGGCTCAAAATAAGGACATGGAGGAAGATTTACCAAGCAAATGGAGAGCAGAAAAAAGCAGGAACTGAAATTCTCATCTCTGATAAAATAGACTTTAAAGCAACAAAGATCAAAAGAGACAAAGAAGGACATTACATAATGGTAAAAGGATGGATGCAACAAGAAGAGCTAACAATCGTAAATATATATGGACCCAATACAGGAGCACCCAGATATGTAAGGCAAGTTCTTAATGATTTACAAAGAGACGTAGACTTCCACCCAATAATAGCGGAAGACATTAACACTCCACTTTCAATAGTAGACAGGTCAACCAGACAGAAAATCAACAAGGATATCCAGGGCTTGAACTCAGACCTGGAAAAAGCAAACCTGATAGACATTTACAGAACTCTCCACCCCGAATCCACAGAATATACATTCTTCTCAGCACTACATCACACCTACTCTAAAATTGACCACATAATTGGAAGTAAAGCACTCCTCAGCAAATGCAAAACAACTGACATAATAACAAACAATCTCTCAGACCATAGTGCAGTCAAGTTAGAACTCAGAATTCAGAAACTAACTCAGAACCTCACAGCTTCATGGAAATTGAACAACTGGCTTTTGAATGTTGACTGGCCCAACAATGCAGTGAAGGCAGAAATAAAGAAGTTCTTCGAAACCAATGAGAATGAAGACACAACATACCAGAATCTCGGGAAAACATTTAAAGCAGTCTCTAGAGGAAAATACATAGCTATAAGTGCCCTTATGAGAAGAGTGAAGTGATCCAAAATTGACATCCTAACATCAAAATTGAAAGAGCTAGAGGAGCAAAATCAAAAAACCTCAAAACCTAGCAGAAGACAAGAAATAACTAAGATCAGAGCAGAACTGAAGGAGATAGAGACACAAAAAACCCTTCAAAAAATCAATAAATCCAAGAGCTGGTTTTTTGAAAAGATCAACAAAATAGATCACTAGCCAAATTGATAAAATAGAAAAGAAAGAATAACCAAAAAAACGCAATAAAAATGATTAAGAAGAAATCACCACAGATTCCACAAAAATTCAGATCATGATTGGAGAATATTACAAATAACTCTATGCAGATAAACTAGTAAACTTGGAAGAATGTATAAATTCCTGGATACTTGTGTCCTCCCAAGCCTAAACCAGGAGAAAGCCATAACTATGAATAGACCAATAACAAGGTCTGAAGTTGAGGCAGCAATTAAGAGCCTACCACACAAAAAAAGCTCAGGTCCAGATGGGTTCACAGCCGAATTGTACCAGAGACATATAGAGGAACTATTACCATTCCTTCTTAAACTATTCCAAATAATACAAAAAGAGGGAATTCTTCCCAAATCATTTTACGAGACCAACATCATCCTGATACCAAAACCTGGCGGAGACTCAACAAAAAAAGAAAACTTCAGACCAATATTCATGATGAACACAGACGCAAAAATCTTCAATAAAATACTGGAAATCTAATTGCAACAGCACATCAAAAAGCTTATTCACCATGACCAAGTACGATTTATCCTGAAAATGCAAGGCTGGTTCAACATACGCAATTATATAAACGTAATTAACCACATAAAACGTAATTAACCACATAAACAGAACCAAAAACAAGAACCACATGGTTATGTCAATTGAAGCAGAGAAGGCATTTGACAAAGCTCAACAGCACTTTATGCTAAAAACCCTCAATAAAATCGGTATTGATGGAACGTACCTCAAAATAATAAAAGCTATTTATGACAAACCAACAGCCAATATCATACTGAATGGGCAAAAACTGGAGGCATTCCTTTTGAAATCTGGCACTAGACAAGGATGCCCTCTCTCATCACTCCTATTCAATAAAGTACTGGAAGTTCTAGCCCAAGGAACAAGGCAAGAAAAAGAAATAAAGCGTATTCAAATAGAAAAGGTGGAAGCCAAATTGTCTCTATTTGCAGACATCATGATAATATATCTAGAAGACTCCATCGTCTCAGCCCAAAAACCCCTGAAACTAATAAG